TGTTGATCTAATCAATCAAAGTGTGCTGCAGCTGATCGACCACCAGCAGTTCTACCTGGCGCTGGACAACAAGATGATCGTGGAGATGCTGAGGACGGAGATCGCCTACCTGGCCTCCAGGTGGAGGATGACCGGCCGCCCCACGGTCACTTTCCCCATCTCGCAGACCATGCTGAGTAGGCGCGCACGCGGGACACCTCCACCCTTACTCTTCACACACACGCGCGCTTCACCCGTGCTGCGTTCCGTCTGTTTGGTCTCCAGATGAAGATCGCTCCAGCTTGGACCCGGCGGTGTTGGCGACTCTGCGGAAGCTGCAGGACGGATATTACGGAGGAGCAAGGTCGCTCAGAGGACAATATCGGCTTTTGAACATCTGTACAATATGTCTACTGTAAAATACCCCCCTCCTCCCCCCCTGCTCTCCCCCTCCTCCCCCCTCCTCCACCCCTGCTCTCCCCCTCCTCCCCCTCCAGGATCCAGACGGGGAAGCTCTCAGAGTTCTTGACCACCTCCTGTTTCACCAACCTGAGCTTCCTGGACGGTAAAGGCTCCGGCAGCGCGAGCCGCCACGACAAGGAGTACGATGACGACGACGACGAGGGCGACGGATACGTGCACGAGTTACGCAATGACGACGGTACGGGCGGGAGACGGTGCACACGCGTGTGCTCTGCTGTTTCATGTGCGCTTTGGGTCTGTGTTTGTCGATTGTAAGACTCCTCGTCTCTCTATTGCCCCCCCCCCCCTCCCCAGAGGCCGACGACCTCGCCCAGTACCTGGACCACCTGTTGGCTCACGCCACCCCCAAGAAGCCCGAGCAGCAGGGGGGCGGCCGGGGGAGGTTCAAGGCCGTGGCCGCCAAAACCAAGGAGATGGTGTCTCTGATGCACAAGGCCCAGCAGCTCGACGTGCACGGTGAGGAGGGGGGGGGGGGGGGGGGAAGAAGACCACTTTCTCTATCACATATTCCCACTGATGCCCCCAAAGTTTCTCCCCGTCCGGGCGCCATGGTTAACTGCCCCGCACAATCCTTTTTCTTCCCTATTAAATAAATAAAAGGGACCCAAACGGGGACCCCTGTCCGACAGAGAGGATAGGGGGGTTATTTTTCTGCTTTTAAAAAAAAAAAATCTGTATCTATTTATTTGGGCCTAACCACCCCCGCCCTCTACCCTCGCCAGGCGGCGGCGCCGTCTCTGCAGAGCGGCGTTCCCAGAGCGCCCGGCGGCGGCATCGACTACGAGGCGCTGGTGCGGCTGCTGAAGGACACGCAGAGCCTCCAGGACCAGGCGGACATCCTCTACATCCTCTTCAAGGACAAGTGAGACCGTGTGTGGGCGTCTGTAGTTCTGCGTGTGTGTGTTTAAGGGGAAGAAGCAGAGAAGCATCCGGCTCTTTTCCAATTTAAATAAAGGAGCTTTCATCTACAATACAACAAACCGGAGACATTTAATTTGGGGGATACTACGACGGGGCCTTGGTGTCTCACAGGGGCCTGGACTGGGACACCCAGCTGCACGGCAAAGGCTCCCCGCTGAGATCTCTGCTGTCCGACCTCTACAAGAAGGCCGGGGAGCTCAAACACTGGAGCCTCATCCGGATGATCTCCGGCATGCTGAGGAAGAAGGTGGAGGAGCTCGACTCGGTACGAGGAGTGTGTGGAACACACGAGATTTAGGTTTCATCATCTATTCATCCTGTTTAAACTCTCTTCACTAAGTCGCACTCAACCGTCGTGGAATCGGTTCAAATTTGAACTTTTCCCTTTGAACACCTGCGGGTCTCTCTCTCTCTCTCCTGATTGGCTGCCCTCCCCGGTAGGCCTGCTCTGATTTGCTGGCCCATCAGAAGCACCTGACGGTGGGTCTGCCCCCCGAGCCCAGGGAGAAGACCATCACCGCCCCCATCCCCCCCGACCAGCTGGCCGCCCTCATCGACGAGGCCAGCGACAACAACATCAGCGTGGCCGTCCTCACCAAGGTGAGCCCCGGCCTCACGGGGGGGGGGGCGGGGCGGTCCGTCCTCGCTGTTCCCCTCTAACACCCCCTCCCCACAGGAGATCATGGTGTACCTGGCTATGAGCATCAGGACTCAGCCCAGCCTGTTCAGCGAGATGTTCCGGCTCCGGATCGGACTCATCATCCAGGTCATGGCCACCGAGCTGGCTCAGTCGCTCAACTGCTCAGGTGAGCGGGGGCCCAATTCTTTGCAAATTCCCCATAATCCATTTTTATCTGGACTTTTGCTTTGTCTCGACATCCAGTGCCTTAACAAATCTGAAGATGTACAGTTTAAATCATTCATGCAAGCTTTTCGTTGCCAACTGGATTCGCAGCAGCTGTTCATTTTGCATTAAGACAGGCAAATTCAAGTCTGTCTGTCAATCACAGTAGCCCCGCCCCCAGCGAGTTTGTTGTCTGTGTGCGCGTAGGAGAGGAGGCCACCGAGAGCCTGATGAGTCTCAGTCCCTCCGAGCTGAAGAACCTCCTCCATCACATCCTCAGCGGGAAAGAGTTCGGCGTGCAGCGCAGCGGTCAGTGCACCGGCCGTGGAGCCCCTTCATCCCACACAGCCAATCGGATGCTTCTGCCCCTGTAAGCCCCTCTCCCTCTCCCGCCCTCTCCACAGTCAGGGAGCTGGACGCCGGCGTCAGTCCCGCCTTCTCCATCCATCACCTGGGCAACGTGGGCGCCACCAAGAGCGAGAGGGCCGGCATCAGCAAGCTGAAGATCGACATGAAGATGGTAGATGATTGAACACATTAGTACCCTGACGACAAGGATCACGCACTGTGACCTCCAGAGTGCTGATGACATCAGCGCGTTGATCACGATGACGAGATTGAGGAAGATGGAGCATCTTTTTTTTTAAATACCTTGTGTTCTTTTTGTGGCAAACGGACTCTTGTCTTTTCACAGCTGGAGCACAGGTTGTCCATGACGGAGACCAGTCAGGTGATGATGAGGATGATGTGGTGGTAATTCACCGGGCCGATGCCGAGGGACAAATAATTGTGGAGCTCATTAGAAGGGAAATTGCGGAATTAATCAAGAACAGCTGCTAATTTAAGATAGTTTGTTGTTGGGAATGAATGAGCGATGAAGAGCTGAGGGCGAGTTTCCGTGTCTCTGCGGCCGCTGGCTGTGATTTACTCACGACCTGGTTAATTGTTAATGAATCATTGAGATGAAGTAGAGTGATGATGAGATAAAGGTCGCTTGGCTTCAGCTTGTGGGGGGGGGGGGGGGAAGACTTCAGGCGACGGGTTCGGTCATCCGCCGTGTCTCCTCCTCTGTTGCAGGTGGACCGCACGGTGTCTTTGACCGGCTCAGTTAAGGTGATGAAGAGGAGGACATTTGTCTAAATGAGAGGAATTAATTCAAAGTAATACGACTCGTGAGCAGGTTTTAATTTGACAGATGCAGAGCTGATCAAAAGTGGTGATGATGATGATGAAGATGTCAGTGATCGGACTCTGAAATGACGCGTGATGCTCCACCCATGAGGATGATTTAACGTCGCTTCGGGCTTTTAACGCGTCGGCAGGACGTTTTTCTTTTTTCAGCTCCACCACCCGCTGACCTCCACCCGCGAGGTGACGGAGAGACAGCCGCGTGTAGCGTTGGTTTCTGGGTGGTGCTTCGTCCCAAATGACCAACGAGGCGCCGCTGACCCTTTTAATGTCTGCTGATGACAGTTAGTCGTTGATTTTAAGAGGGCTCATTTTTAATGTCGCAGAAGTGAAATATATAACATTTTATTTCCGTCTAAGTTAAAGAAGAGCAGCAAGTATTTACGTCTGAAAAGGTTGGAGCAAAAAATATTTGGTGTTCCTGCTTGATAAAGGATCAGTGGTTCATTTTCAGTTGGTCGGTTTAATTTGAGCCGCTTTACTTTTGATATATAAGCTGAGATCTGATCGATTCCTGCGTGCAGTGAATCGTAAGAAGCCAGAATCCAATCCTGCTCCTTCATTTCTTTTTCCCGCTGTTCTCTCTCTCTCTCTCTCTCTCTCTCTCAGGGCGTTCGATCGCAGTCGATGGACGTGGAAGCCTTTGAATCTGGGGTAAAGATTTGCTTCTTAAATCAGATCCTTCTCACACGCATCTAGTTGCGTTTCTCCAGGAGGCCAGGTTGACCTCCCCGTGCGTCCCGTGTCCTCCCAGAGGTGCCGGCTGCCCTCCATAGACGGTCTGGACGTCCCGGAGTGCTCGCCGGTCGCCAAGGACACCCGACACGGCCAATGGCTGCGCAGGAGGCGGCTGGACGGCGCGCTGAACCGGGTCCCCGTCGGCTTCTACCAGAAGGTCTGGAAGATCCTGCAGAAGGTTCGGACAAGTAACTTTCGCCGCGGGCTCAGATTTCGCTCAATAGAAGGTTGTTCCGTGTGGTTTGGAAGGAGCACAGAGACGCCCCCGACCTGTTGCAATGACCCCTTTTTGACCACGTTGTCTTCCAGTGCCACGGGCTGTCCATCGAAGGGTTCGTCCTTCCGTCTTCAACCACCAGAGAGGTAGGAGATCCACTCGATCACTGGTGATCGAGCCGCTGCTTCAGCTTTTCCTTTATTGTATGAAATCTGTTTAGTAAAAGAAAGTCGTAGTTCAGCATATAAGAGAAAGAGGTCGAAAGGCGGCGTCTTGTCTCCCCTCTCCCCCCAGATGACCCCCAGGGAGATCAAGTTCTCGGTCCACGTGGAGACGGTGCTGAACCGCGTCCCTCAGCCGGAGTACCGGCAGCTGCTGGTGGAGGCCATCCTGGTGCTCACCATGCTGGCCGACGTGGACATCCCCAGCATCGGCTCCATCATCCACGTGGAGAAGATCGTCCAGCTGGCCAACGACATGTTCCACAAGGACCAGGTGAGCGGGCGCACACGGAGAGGCGGGGTCGGGGGGTCGGGGGGGGTCGGTGCTGCGGTGACGGTGAAGTGAGTGAGGGGCTTTGTCCTCCCGCAGAGGGACCTGGGAGCGGAGGAGCACGTCCTGGAGCGGGACCCGTCCACGGGCGTGTGCCGGCTGCTGTACGACAGCGCCCCCAGCGGCCGCTTCGGGAGCATGACCTACCTCACCAAGGCCGTGGCGGCGTACGTGCAGGACTTCCTGCCCGGCGGGTCGTGCGCGGTGCAGTGAAAGTAAACATGACGTATGACCGCGTGAGAGCAAAGAGGCACAGGAGTTTTTTATTTATAGGCTTTGTGTGACAACTTGAATAACACACTGAATTGTGATGATGTGAATCAATATATGTGTATTAATAAATGTATTAATACACACGTGGTTCTCTAGCTGTGGACAGAGCACGAGACCGACTATTCTGTTGTGTCCGTTTGGTCATTTGTTTGACGCCACTGTAGAAGTTGTGTCTCTTTAGTGCCTTTCTGATTTTTTTGAAGTGTCTTTTTGGCTGTTTTACGTTTTTTTTCCCCAAATCTAAATCATTTCAGGTGTCCTACGATGCTGTATGATGCATAAAATAATGACAAATAGGACCTAATCTTTTGATTAGTTTATTTTACAGTTCTAAAATCATAATTAAAGGTGTGCGCGTGTGTGTGTGTGTGTGTGTGAAAAAATAGGAAAACCGACTTTATTTTTTAACACAAAGAATTTTGATTGTGGAAATTGAAGCTTTTTCAGCATTAAGTTATTTTTGAATGCAGTGATTAAATAAGAGAAAGAGCTGAATTTTTCTGCTGAACTGTAACTTTTATTGAGTTTTTTTCTTTGTTTAACGGCAGTAAAACCTTTTGCGTATATTTCACATTTTATTGACACATCTAAGCTTTAAATTCAAAAGGTTTTGGAGGATTCGGTGTCTAGTTGACTGATACTCATGATCCACGTTCATCAATTGTACAATAACCAGACTGATATGATGCTTTTGAGGTATCAGAGGAGATCGTCTCGCCACGGGTGAAGCACAAACAATCATGGCGGCGCGAGTGAGTCACGTCTCCATAGAATTCAACTGTTGGATTCATTCTGTAATAAAGCGGATCATCAAGGCATTTGTGTATTTTCTGCATTTAATTTGGTTAAGGATTTAGGCGTTTGTTGGACATTCAAACCAAGTAGCTGGCTGATTTTACTTGTTGTATTTATCTGCAGGACGGCTGTGACGGTTGAAACGTTTAGCCAGCAGGCGGCGCTGCACCAGCTCAGATGATGTCATTCAGACTTTTGGGGTCAGGGCCGTTCTCTTATCTTGTGTTTGGAGATATTACAAAACCGCAGCACAGTCAGTGAGGGATAAACTTAAATCTCAAAAATCTTATCTTGCGCAAACGTTTTATCCTATTTTCCGGGTAGTGTCTCATGTATTTTGCAAACCACCGTCGACAGATTTCTTTTGCTATATCTGCCCAATTTTGGACAAAAACACATTTAAAACTAAGGTATAAAACTATAGCTTTATATATCATCACAATTAAAGTTCTGTGAAAAAAAGAAATATCTTGAATCATTAAATGTAAATCATATGATATTTGTCTGCAGTGACAGTAACAGTGAAGATAATTCTTCATGTTATCTTAAAAATGCCAAATAATCAGCTATATTAAAAAACACAACGGCTGGAAATCTGAAGACGTGTTCGTCCTCGTTTCAACTTGAGTCTCCAAAGCGAAGTTGCTCTTTACACATCCGACAGGATGTGGAGTTGAGAAATTAAAATGAAAAAGTATGTTTAAGAGAGGAAAAAATAGCTGTGATTTTACACTCTTGCATAGATAATTAAAGTGGGCCAGTCCCCGAATGCAGCTCTGTGGGGCTAAACGCTAACCTCAGTATGCTAACGTGCTGACCTTTCACCGGTGCAGCGTTTTAAAAGGTTCCCCATCTCAGCTTGGCGTGCTGGCCGACACAAGCTACGCCGGCTAACGCGCTAATGACGGGAAGGTGGTTTTGCAGGTGTTACAGATTAGACAACAGTTGATGACGGTGTCGGTGGATTTGATAAGAGCTAGCGTGTCTAAGTTGAGTTTGAGTGCATCTGAAATCAATATTAGGAGCTCAGTTAGGAATGCATCATGTTAAACTTCGACACGGCGTTAGTTCAAAGTGTGCTGGTATTGAACTCAGACCGAAAATACCTGTGACCCTGTGGAGAAAAGAACAAACACACGACAGAAGCCTGGAAATGTTGACTTTTAACACACAGAAAAAAGTCCTGTGGAACTCTCGTTTGCTTCAGTCAGCAGGAACTTAAAAAATGTCACCAGTGACAGTAAACGTTCAACCATTAGATGTGCAGGGAATTATGTCATTGTTACGTGAAACCTGGTGTGTTGGAATTAACGTTGATACTTTTGCATTTATTCGTACTGCTAGCACTCAAGTCACATTAACTTGAATCCAGACTTTTACTTTAACAAACTTTTAGTACAAATTATTAATTTAGCACGACAAAATTGTGTTCTCCAAAGTTTTTTTTAATCTACTGAATATAAAACTGGATGTGGATGCTAACCGCTAACGAATGTTGACCGTTAGCTGCTGCGGACGCTAATTCTAAGCTTGCTAACGTTTATGTTGATATGTCTTTTTTAAAGGTCAGATCAACTTTAAATGTAAGTAAGTTAGTATTTGATTCACGTATCCATCTGTATTCATTACTGTGGTTGTTCAAGGGTTGTTTTACATTTTTTAATCTTTTTTAATCCTCCTGTCACCAAGGACAATAATCTAAAACAAGACTGATAAGATTGTTTTTCTTAGTGCTTACTCAACTTTATTCGACATGGGAGACAATGGTTTCAATAATAAGTTACAGCGATATGGAAATGTCACACGGTCCAATCTAACATTGTGCTCCAATTAGTTTTAAACTCAGACTGTATATAATAACCCGCTTGTGGATCGACGTTTTGAACCCTTGAATTTGACATTTCGGCGTTGCCATCGTGGATTACACCTGCCTCCATGTTGTTTATTCTCAAACAATGAACAGAAGTTGTTTTATTTGGATGGCGCAGGAGCCCGTTTTACCCTTTATCGAGACGACTGCAATGTAACGTCACGTAGATGTCATGCCCGCTTGTTCAGACATGAAACCCATGTATCAGATGGTCTGGAAGCAACTTTGAATTGTTGATCATCCACGTTATTGTTAGTCAGACGGATCATTCGGTCATCTGTCCTCACAATCCGGCTTTGAAACATTGCTCGATTCAAATATTATTAGAGGAAAGTTCAGGAGGCTCTTGCGTATCACACAGAGTGTGAAACACATGGTTCAGATGGCAAACAACACTTTGCACTGTCCTTGTTCATACATGACGGTGAAGCCACTGACCAGCTGTACGTTGGCCCCAGCAAGACGTTTATATCGACAAAATCTCCCTCCACCGTCCGTCTCAATGCCACGTTCATGTCATATGAGTAGATGCTAAGCTTTCCTACAAGGAAGCGGAGGGGAAGTCCAATACAAACAAATTAAAAGTAAATTCCAGCCTCTCGTTTTTAACGCCGATGTTGATCACCACGTTGCAGGAGCTCGCGGTGATCACAGGCTGGTCGGCAGACACGAAGGCGAAGGAGAGGTTGAGCAGCGAGAGGAATGAACTCCCGCGATGATTTTTCAGATCAAACCGATCAATCTGGCCAGAAGACGTAGACTTTCACACAGTGAAGCGCGGGGCCAGGACATCTCGACTGAGACCGAACACTCTGTGCGGGGCCAGAGGTGCCAGATGACTCACACGGCGCTTGATGGGTCGGGACGTTGAGCAAGGAGCAGTAAACACATATTTCAGAGCGCTGCTGGTATGACACCGGGGGCCAACACCGCTGACCTTTGCCCCAGTGCAAATTACCGGCACATCAAGACCGATGCGTCCGGCTCGCAGACCGGTCCGTATGGTTAAAAATAAAGTCAGAATCTGTGAATATCTTACCAACTTTCAATACCGATCGATTTTTGGAAAATCTAAATAATGACATAATTTATGCGCAGGCAGTCCTCCATAGTTCGGTAAAGATATTCACAGATTCAGACTGACGCATCGGTCTTAATGTGCCGGCAATGATGGTAAATTATGGTTGTAGCTGGTTGTCATCTACGGTCTACGGTCCACTACGTTTTGCCAACGTTTTATCTCGTAATTTCGACTTTCTATCTCCTTTCTTTAGTGCGGAAACGGGCTTCTATAGTTGTGTGAACGCATCGCTCCAGCCAAACCAAAGACGGGGTTTGTAACCAATCAGATTGGAGAGACCACGGTGACTGGCTCCGCCCCTCTGGTGACTGGCTCCGCCCCCTCACTGTCAAAAAGAACAACAGCGAGGGCGCAAAAAACACCTTCGAGCGCCGAGCAGAGATTAACAGAGCGAGCGAGGAAGTTCACGTTCCGCGAGCGAGCAAATATCTCGCGAGACGCCGATGTTTGATTTACACGCGCACAGCGACTCGATTTGCGCTCTCGAATTTTGCCAGTGATTTGCCGCCACACTACCGGTGCTTATCCTGTTCATCGTGACTGCAGCAGCTTTAGCTTTCCTTTCACTGCCTTTCATTATATATCTATTAATTTTAGAAATAGAGTAGAACCGATATAACAAAATGAAATAAAATTAACTAAATAAAACGGCAACTGTTGTCCACAACCGCGTCAGTGGTCCAGTAAGGCGAGTTAGCGAGCTAGCTGTCGCTAACCACGGCCATATCTCACCGTCTCCTTCTTCTCACTGTAGAGTTGTGTGTGCGTTTTAATCCGCAGCTCTAATTATTACCCAATATGTGCAGTATTTGTGCCTGTATGAGTCATGTTTGCAGAGGAACTACAATTAAAAAAGTATATATATTTGATCAGTCATTTCTTTAACATAAATGATTTCAAAATAAGGAACCAAAGCATGAAATTCACATTTTTCTCCCGTGCTTTTATTCCACTTTTCCTCCAGCCCTGCACACATAGGGAATACAGTACATACAGTTGGCAGCACACAGTACAAAGATAATTTGGGTTTCAAAAGTGCAATCCTGCTCAAACATTTCTCAACATTTCTCAGCGACCATTTGCGCCGCGCGTGAAGTAAGCTGTGCAGGCGAAGATCCGCGGTGGCTTATCGATTTCAGGAGATGGACGTCCTAATTCTTTTCCTTCAAACAAAGCTGTGCAGATATCCGTTAAACTGGTTGTTGCTCACTGATTTAACGTTGACCGAGCGAGTAGATATTTAAGAGGTGATTGATTATTCTAAAACAAACCACGGAAATGTCACAAACAAAATAAGATTTTTAACAACGCTACATGAAGTGATGTAAATGGGTACATTTTTAAAGGATAGAATAAATAAAATATGAGAATCACCACATTATACCAAATCAGCTCATATTCATAACATGTATTCTAAATAATGTTACCAAGAATAACTTTGAGAGGGTTGAACATACAGTTTGTAAGGAATGCTTGAATTAATAAAATAAAAAGACAGGAGAAAGGGTCTTATCACTGCTGAGGGATTCCACACAGTGGGAGTTTAATTTATCGCACACACGTGATCCAACCGGGACTTCAAGGCAGAAAAAGTCTTCCCCTTGACGTCCATCCTAATCTGTGACACATGGGTTCTAAGGCGTCGTGACATCAAAGTCAGATATGAAACCTTGTTATCGATCCCTTGAAACAGCAGACATTGTAATCATCTGTGGACGGAACCGAGAGGGAAAAGCCTCTGATGTAAAAAAAAAAAAACAGTACTTATTTCATTTAAAAGTCTGAGCTTTGAGTTCAGGGGATATTTGGTCCAAACAAGTCTTCGTAGACTGTAACTACCTGCAGCTTAAAGTCATATAAAGTGATATATCAGCAACGTGTTGGCACATATAAATATTTTTAAAAAGCGAGTAGGAAATCCCTCGTCTGAGAACCTTGTCGTGAGGATGGCGGCGCTCTTGTAAACACGGCGCTACGTCAGTAGTTGACCGGCCCGGTGATGGAGCGCTGGATGGTGGAGCAGTGTCCCGCCCTGAGGAGACCACGAGGAGGGGGGGGGGACAGGAGAAGAGCCGTCATTGGCACAAATTAATTAACGCACCAAAATATCGGTTTGCGGAAACGTGAGTTGAAATCATTGTGCCACATAGAAGATGGAAGATTATCGATGAGTTTTAGCAGAACTCGTGTTGATGAATCAAAGGATTTCCACTTTCTTAGAGGAGGATTTGGGATTTGGACATAACAAATCACATGCCGAAATCAAGCGCACCTGAAGTAGATCACGTTCTACCGCCGCCTGCGAACGACGGACTCAACCGCGGTTCTTCTCCTGCGTGTGTTTACCTGCAGAGGCCCGTGGAGCACTCGTAGTTGTTCTGGCAGTAAGCTCCCAGCGGCTTGCTGTTCATGATCCTCCACAGCGGGGTCATCCGGGCCACCCTCCTCGGCACGGGCACGTTCCATTCCGCCCCCGGGGCCACGCCGGGCCGGGGCCGAGGCGCCAACGCACCTGCAAGGGCCTGCTGTCGAACACACGGACGCGTGGCAGCGTTTGTCAAGAGAGGAAAGCAGCGACATTCAGACGCAAGAAAAAGGCAAACCGGAGTCATTTTTAGCACGAATCTGGTCACTAGCTTTGGCTCCAGAACTTTCCAGAACTTTCATCCTGATTCTTCCCGCCCCGGTTCAACCTGACGCATTCTGGAGCTGGTTTGTTCTGACCGCACAGGGCGGATGCGTGAACCTGCTCCATCTGAACTCACCTGCTGAGCCATCAGCAGCAGCACGACGCACAGCACTGCGGCCGTCCCGCTGGGGACGAAGAAGCCTTTCCCCTGCATCCTCTCACGGCTCTGCACGGGCCGCGGTGTACGCTGTCGAGTCGGGTGGAACGCTCCTGCGAGGCTCCGGGTTGGTGGAAAGTTCCTTTGAGAGGGAGGCTGAGCTGTGACACCGGCGGAGGGGGGAGGCCGGGCTCTCCTTTATACCGACTGGCCTCGGGTCCCACAGGAGGAGAGGAAGCAAAGAGGGCGGGAGGAAGAGTCACAGTCCAAGCGCTTTCCCTCGCTCTCTCTATCTCACCCGTTATCTTGTCTGGCCCGTGTGTGACATTGAACAGAAAACAACCAAAAAAAAACAACAAATTCCCCAAAATGAGGCCACGTCTGTCACATTCCCAAGCTATGCACGTTCCCTCTTCCGTTCACACATGTGCAGATGATGTGAGGAACGTTTGAACGTTCACACGTGATCTTCACCGGAGGGCAACGTCGGGCGAAAAAAAAAGGGTCCAAAGAGGCAAAGAGGTCCCTGCACGTGTGTGTCAGTGCCACAGTGTGCGAATGAACTCAATCGGCGCGATAAGGCCTCATCGACCTTTGACCTGACGCCATCCCTCCAGCAGGCCCGCTTATGCAACGCACGGGTGTGGTTTACGTAAGCAGCTGTTCCACATGTTCTGTGGTTGTAAATGCTGCGATAGTTGAAGCTGCGCCTGCGTTGTGTTTGATCCCGTTGCTAAAGGGCTCCTCGGCAGACAGAGGTCCCCTCGTGTGGTGCCTGTGACATCTGACCTTTAGCCCTTACGGAGCAGTAACCGCCCTTTAGGAATCCCGGTGACACGACGGGCCTCCGGGAGAGAGACGAATGTTTAAAGTCATTTTGTGTCCCTTTGTAATTACGTGTATCTTTGTTGTGGTTGTTGTTTGTAGCTGTGGTCTTTTGTTGTGTCTCTTTGGCTTGGTGCTTGTGTTCCTCTGAGTTGTGTATCGCCCGCGGGGCCCCTCACACTTTGGGTCCCCTTGGCCGTGCACCCGGTTCGGCGAGGCCTCCGTGAAAGGGAAGATGGATCCAGAGAAGTTGGCAGGTCAGACATGACCTCATCCGCAGGATGAGCTACACGGAAATAGGTTACCCAGAATGCCCTGTAATTAAGGACAGGCCTTGAGTCGAAGCCAGAAAGATAGTGACTGCGGTGACAGTTCATCCCCGGCCGAGCTTATCTCGTATCTCTCTCTTTGAAATCAGCAGCAACACAGAGCTTCACGCGTTCTATGATCGACGAGATGTATTTAAAGTCGCCCTTGTGTCAGATAACTCATCTCATTCGCCAAAAGAATCCATTTGATTAGAGATTAAGCAGTAATAAGGTGAACTGGTGCAGCACCTCAAACCTTCAGCCTCTTCGTGTCGAACTTTGTCGTCACTTGTTTGCTAGTGCACTTTATTTTTTAATATTTTTAACTTTAACTTTCTCTTATTTTATACTAACCCATAGCATTAGCATTTTATTTTATTTCATCACTTTCATGCACTGCTGTCTTGTCTATTGTTACACTGTCGACTGTCACGCACCAACCGCCAAGACAAACTCCTTGTATGTTTGACATATTTTGCCAATAAATGTTTCCTGATTCCTGATACTCTAATAAAAGGATTGTGGCTCAGAAGGAATCTCTTCTCACTTTTCTGTCCCCACTGACGCGCTTCACGGGAAGCAGTCGCGGGCCTTTATTTCGGGGACATTGCACATCTGTCGGAGGACGCGAGTGTGACTCATCCGAGGGTCCCTTGAGAGAGGGGGGGGGGCAGCATTTCCAGGCATGCTGGAAACAAAGTGTTACCGTGAACGACAGGAGGAATTAAGCACGTCTGTAAATCTCCTCATATAAAACGCTTTTACTGCAAAGCCAGGCTTGTTTTTATCCGGGTGCCAAGTGAAACATGCTGCTGTTCCTTAAGTGCAAATATTTGATATCAGACATCAAGGTCACAACGCACCCCAGGGGAGTGGGAAAGCCCATTAAAGGCAATAAATGTTTATTGCTGTAGTCTGTAAAGAAGCACGTTGGCGTTTGTGTCTTCTCTGTAAATAGTGTCTCTGAACGCACAGCAAAGTTCATCTGCAAGTTAATGATTCACACTTTTGCATATTTATATATATATATATATATAGCAGAGGGATATTGACCCCAGCAGTGACCTTTAGCCTCGTTGGCCCTTAAAGGGACGGCGTGTCAGAGGAAGGCGCCTCTAGTGGGGAGGATGCAGATTGCAAGCAAAAACGTGTGTGTGGAAAAGGACCCTCACCCACCTATTGACCTATTATATGTGTATAATTTTATACACATATATATAATAATAATATAATATATATACACACACACACACGTTACATTTCCTTTCTGGTGGAAACCCGTCTGTTTTCTGCCTTCTCCGTCTCCTGATAGCGGGGGTCAAGGAGACAGACAGAAGGTCACGGAAACGCGGCGGGTCCACGTTGAGGTTCTCCTGTCTTCGCGTGGGAGTCGCGGCTCTTTGGTGAAGGGCGCCGTCTGTTGGACTCGACGCCGTGACGCAGCGGTTTGAATCACTGCAGCTGGATTCATAAAGGAATGAAAATGATTTTCCTGGTTTAATTTCTCAGTCACAAGCGATGAATTCGGGAGGCAGCCTCACCTCCTCATTTCAGTAGAGGAAAACGTTTTCCTTTTACAGAGTAAACTCTTTTCATGATGGACACTTCGGGACTTTGTAATATGCAAAGCATATTTAATGTTTTTTTTTCCCCTTTAATGTTTTCTGCCACTTTAACTGCAATTCATCACTTTGTCTCTTGTCTGTTAGTGCACTTTATGCTTAATATTTTTCTTTTACTTTTTAATATTTATAATTTTTTTAACTTTATTCTCTTGTTTTATACTAACCCATAGCCTTATTCTACTAACCCATTGCATCAGCATTCCATTCCACTTTATTTTATTACTTGTGCACTGCTGTCTTGTCTGTCTACTCTCGCGCACTAATCGCCAAGACAAATTCCTTGTATGTTTGACATATTTTGGCTAATAAATGTTTCCTGATTCCTGATTCCTGATTTAGCCAGACTTCCCAAAAACTAGAACTTTAAACCTCTATAAAAGTTTCTGTTCTGGAGTTTTTGATCACATCGCCTGATCTTCCTCAGCAGCATCTTAAACCCTAAAAAGTTCACGTCTGGACTTCAGACACGTGAATATTTCTGGACAACCACCAACAACATTCTTTAAAAAAAAAAAAGGACAATAAATTAGGCTTTTAGAAAACATGCATTTTATTGTATTATCCATTTTCACGCGTAATAAAAATTGCATTCCTTCCGACTACAAAACTTTTTTTCTTCTTTCACGTGATCTTTTCTCTTAATCCTTCATTCAGGGTTTTATTATTTTCTAAGACAGCCCGGTAGCAGCACATTACGGTTTTTTTGGAGCCCCCTCCCATTATAAATACATACAAAAGTTGATTGTAAACAGCAAAATCAATTGTGACGACACGAAAGCCTTCGAGGTCCCGTCTAACGCGGTCGAGCCCTCATCCATTAAAACGCTGACTTCTTTATATTTTAGCAGCCACTAATACGTCGCCGTGCCATCAAACCGCACGCTGTTCTTCAATACATAAGTTGTTGTTTTTTGGGGGGGGGGGGGTTCTTCTTGGGAATGTCAGCTCTGATACGAAACACCAATCAAGTTTTTTTTTTTTCTCTCTTTAAAAGGACAAAAAGAACAAACGGCACACAGACGAGCACGAGAAGGAACGCACGAGTTAGACGGCTGCGGTTTGAGGTTCGACCGCCGGCGATGATTCAACGCTTCATACCCAAACAAGCCAGCGCCTCCACGCCTTTTTTTTTCTTATTTTTTTAAAAAGCTACCTGACGTTTAAGTCCATTTCATTGAGTCGATGTGGTTTTATTTTATTGGCCTGGAGGCTTTAAAACGCTCCCACACTCGGCTTCTCAATCAGAGCTTCAGCTGCCCGTTTCTTTTTAAAGTGCTTCAACGGTAAAGTGCTTAAACCCCCTCGCCGCCGCCCCCCCCGCCGCCGCCGAGTCAGCGGCAGGTGCACGACTCGGCGACCATGTCCTCCAGCTCCCGGTACTCCACCTTCTTCTTGTGCACCACCAGCACGCTCATGGGCATGTACTTGTACGGCACGCAGGAGGGCGGCGGGACGTCGCCCACGCCCAGGTCGCTGATGACCGTCTGGATGATGGCGTGGTTGGGCGAGTGGAAGCCGTAGGTCAGCACCCGGGGGCAGTTGCCCTGGCAGAAGCGCGGGTTGTACACCAGCGGCGCGATGAAGTACTGGCCCCAGCCCAGCTCGTCGAAGGACAGGCGGAAGGAGTGCAGCTTGCAGCGGTTCTTGGGCGCGGCCGCCCGCCGGTTGGCGCCGTGGATGTCGGAGATGATGGAGGCGGAGGTGGAGGTGGAGAAAGAGGAGGAGTAGGTGGGGGCGTTTCGCAGCACGTCAAGCGACGCGTCCTTGGGGTCCGTTGGGGAGGGGTCTTTGGAGCGGCGGCGGCGGTGGAAGGGGAGGGGGGGTGGCGGCGGCGGGGAAGGATGCCACTGCCCGAGTCGCCGCGTGACGTTCTCCCCTTGGACCCCCAGCAGGTCGCCCATCCAGTCCTTCCCCTCCCGCTCCTCCTCCACGTATAAAAGAAGAGACGGGACCTCGAGGTGGGGCTCCCTCCCGTGGAGGGGAAACCGCCACCCCAAGAGGCCGCCGCCCCCTCCGGCGCGCGGGGGCTCCGTGCACCAGTACTGGGCCGTGAGGGTCAAGTGGCCCCCCGGGCCCCGGCTCCTCCCCCGCCGGACGTGGGCGGTGATGTCCGTCTCGGTCCACCGCTCGTGGGGCTCGAGGGTGACCAGGCTGGCTTTGCCCAGTGAGGGGATCTGAGCCCTGCAGCGGGGGGGGCGGAGGGGCCGGGCGGAGGAGGACGACGGTGCAGAGCGGAGGTGGATGAAGGAGGCTCTGATCAGCTGCTCAGAGGGAACCGTGTCCAGGTTGTACTGCACGGTGAAGCTGTAGCGGTGGTCTGAGGGAGGGGACAGAGCCACAGTTAAGGACGCTTCGGGCCTTCTGACTCACCGCGGAACCATCAGGTTGCATCATGGGAGCGTCGGACCCAGAGGGTTCTTGGAGCATTTTAAATCCTGCAGATCTGATCGTTTAAATATGAAGACAATCTTAATTCTGAAACATTCTTCCTCTTTTATCTCATTAAAAGTCATCATCATGTAAATAAAAAGCTAAATAGATTAAACGGTGCTTCATTGTAATAATGCCGATAGACATAAATATGTATGTTAAATCATGTATCTCATTATTGATTAGACTGGCAGCAATGTCTTATTTTAAAGTAGCAATAGCAGGGTAGAGATACTAAGTAGTAAAAATCATTTATTCAGAATAAAAAATAATTCATTTATTTATAATATATATAGAATTGTGATTATTGAGCTGGATGTGTTACACACACACTTGAATGTTGCAGCTAAAAATAACAAATTGAAATGTTCAATATTTTTCAGAGACTCCCAGAGAACACGGTTCACCTAATGAGTCATAAGCCAGAAACATAGAATGATTATTTATGGATTAATGATTGTCGCTGGGACCAATACGGTTTTAGCTCTAATTTAATAGAAACAATTGCCGACAATTCTCAAAATATACATGTTTGACCTTCGAGTACACGCAGAACGTGTCGCCCTGCCGGTATCGATTAACGCAGCGGAGGATCCGCCGGTTCCGACCCGCGGAGTCTCACCTGGGGAGGCCGGCAGGTGGCGCACCGAGGCGGCGGACGGCCTCAGCAGGCGCACCGTGTTGGAGCCGAACTTCCGGTGCTGCTTGGGCCGGCCGTCCGGCTCCGCGGCGCTGCGGTACAGACTCAACATGAACTGCAGGTTCTGGTCCGCCTTCTGCTCCTCCGTCAGCGGCCGGTGGTGGTGGCGCTGGTGGCGGTGCTGCTGGTGGCGGTGGTGGTCGGAGGCCGCCGCTCCGCAGGTGGCGCAGGTGGAGGACAACAGGTAGGCGAGCCAGGACAGGACGCAGGCGCGCAGTAAGCCGTGCGCGGCGCGGGTCGCCTTCATGTTTCTCATATACATATATAATATATATATATAACATAAATATATAATAATAAACATAAAACATCAACCACAACAACAACAACCTCTCGTGCTAGCGAGCTCCACGCACGAGGCTGTAGTTGGTAACCATCCTCCGCGCGGCCGTAGGGCGGGAGATACGGGCTCACCTGGTCGCGCTCACTTTTTGGACTGTCAACTTCCGGAAACGGGCGGTGACCTCTAATTAACCCCTCGCGCGTGCGCGACGCGCGACAATTAACGCGAGGAGGCCACGTGACCGGCGCGTGAAGGTGCGTCACAGTCGCCTGGCGGTTTTTTTTTTCCATTGCGCACAATTTGTTTTCACTTCCACGCCTATTTTCTTAAAATCTATAAATCTATCTTGAAATGATATAGTGTTATGTTTTAACATGTTTTTTTGTATTTTAAAAAGCAAGGAAAATGTTTCGATTTAGAACTTGAATCAAGATGCCAATAATAAATAACCTATAATCAGGTTCAGCTCCTTTGTTAAGGAGGAAAAATAGACAAAAATCAGGCGAAAAAAAACAATCGAAGAAAGAAATATTCTTGCGGTTGACTGAAGAAAAGGTTTTACTTTGAAAGGGGAAAATAATTGTCTTTGGTGCCATCAGGTGGTAGAAAGAAGTGACTTTGATGAATAAAGAGTCCACTCATGAAATACTGTGAGTACGTTTAATCCTCTGAAATGTATTCAGCACTTTTTATTCTCAACAAATCAAAATGTGTAATGTGTTTGTACGACGTGATGCGGTTAAAGGTATTAATGCAACAGAAAGTATCCACTGACAGTCTGAAAGTACATTTGTTGGTTATAAAAACTGCATTTTATACTCAATACTGAATTCAGGATGTTTACTATATTTATTGTATTTTTACAGCAATGTAAAACTTAACGTCTCTCATATTTTATACTGCAATCTTCATACGGTGAAAGCAATGCATTCTGGGAGTCATTACGTCTCTCCCATCATCCCAGACAGTCCCAACTGTCTGTATTCCTACATTATTGTTCTCTAACTCAGGAAGTCTCTTGCTGGTTAAAACACATTTTTAAAAGTAATTGTTGGTAAAACAGAACCTTTTTTGAGCTTGTTTTGGAGTCCCGGGCCATATTTACAGCTTCTGATTTCAGTTTATTTTGGAGTTTGTGAGTAAGTCAAAGCCCGTGAGCTTCAAAGCCTGATGCACGATGTCCCGGCAGAAGTCGTGACAGAAACACGAGCGGGATGGAAAAACAAACTCCATCTCACTTGAAAGCGTCGCTCGCCACCAACACAAATATTTCAGTCCAGGGTTTCATGACAAAGATAAAAAAAAAAAAAAAGGTCTGATCGGAACCAAAACAAAGTGCTGTTGGTGTGGCGGAGGGGGGGGGGGGGGGGGGGTCTGGGCCAACTCCCCCTTTTTTACCCCCTTTTCCCAAACACCCCTGCAAAAAAACGGCCCCCCCCCCCAAAAACACGCGCCCCCGTTTGGGGGGGAGCCTTCCCCAACGGGGGGTTTCTGCAACCCCCAACATTTTCGCCCGCCGGGGAAAGGGGGGAAAAATCAAAAAAGAAGGGGGGACCGAGGGGCCCTGAAAAAAAAAAAAATTTTATTTCATAAAACCCCAAACCCCCCCCCCCCCAAAAAAAGCAAACTGTTTAAACAAATTTGTATTGTAGCATTATTTACATATAAATCAGCTTTATTGGCCACCTGAGGAAGTTTAATCACACATTTTTGTCAGCTAAATACGATCAGTCACGTAAGATTAGAGAAGGATAACAAAGCCTGATGAGGATGTTGTTTTTTATTGACGTGGTGGTGGATGTGATGGATGTTGCTGGTCTGCAGCACGGCAGGCTGGTATGAACTGCTCATACTGCAGGGCTTCAGTGTGGAGGAATGAAGATCCTTATCACTTTCACGCAACCAAAAGAAGAGAGAGAATTCAGTTCGGCAGAGAGCGACTCAAAAGTACATTTTAACACATTTATTCTCAGCTCAATGAACGTCTGTATCGTGCGTTTGTTGTGTTTTACCAATTATTTACAGTTCTAAACGGTCAAGTTGGTGATATAGATCTTAACCAGCAAAGTTTTGTATAAATATAGTAAAATTATTATTAAAAATTATTTTGCCCTCTGAAATGAAATGGAGTTGTATGAAATTAAGTAAATAGCGATTAAACATAAAGCGGAATTTTATTAAATTATAGTTATTAATACATATGTTTACACCTCAATGTTGTCGCAGGGAAAGAGTTTTTTAGTCGTGGTGTTTGTACAATAAACCTTCGATATAGTAATGACGAGCACTAAAAGTATCTCTCTTTTCGTGTATAAATTCGGCGCATTGTCCACAGAGGGACTGATGATAGTTCTCGCAAAGGGCCGGTGGTAAAGTGGCGGGTGTCGTGTTACAGCCGCTCGCTCCTGTGGCGAGTCGGGTGTAGTTGCCGTCCCGAGCTCGCCTGGTGTTACTACGATACAGGAGGTGTTTCGCCGCCGCCCCCTCCCCCTTCCTCGCCTCTCATTGGAGGAGCGCTGCCAGGGTCTGTCCGCTATTGGTGGACCTCCCTGTCCGTCAAACCGGCGCCGTTGAAATGAGTGGGCGGGGCCGCCTACCTCGAGTCCCAAAGTTATCCCAAAGTTTTTAACTGGCTCTCAAGCTGGCGTTCGTTACCGGAAATCCCCTTTTCGATTTCACACTAAAAGCGTTTTGTTTGACATGTATGCGGGAAACGACCAGGTGGTTAGCCTCAGCATGACACACACAAATCCATGGAGGCATGTGTTAAAGTAACACGCGAGATTGCACCTTTAAAACACGCTAACGTCTGCTTTTCCTCGGCGTCGAACACGTTGACCGGAAGTTGCCATCGGCTCATTGGTCACGACGGCTGCTAGCTTGACACCCCCCCCCTCTCCGCTCCCTGCCCCCTTCGTCCCGTCGCCCCGTGCCTCCACCCCGCCTGCTCCATCCATTCGTTGTTGTCGGGGCGGCGATGGAGAAGCCGAGGCTCCGCTACCGGCGCCGCTAGCTAGCAGCCACCGAGCCGGGCTAATCGCCGCGAGCCAGAGGGAGAGCGCGCGAGGGAAAACACGCGCTCCCCGCGGCCCGCCGGGGGAGAATGGAGACGGTTGAGCAGCTCGTCTCCTTCCACCACGTTCAGGTCCAGTTGAGCGGGGGCGCGCCTTGGGGCTTCACGCTGAAAGGAGGACTCGAGCACGGGGAGCCGCTCATCATCACCAAGGTAGGTTCCCCATGACGGTCCACGAGGCCCGGGGGCCAGGGGTGGGGGGGGGTCAGCCGGGACCGGGCCGCCGCCTGCACCCCACTCACCCCGGGCGGTTTCGCGGGTTCATGCGTGTTTCGCTCAAAGGGCGACTGCGGGGTTCGTGTCGTGGGGAGGTGTTCGCGCGTCCGCCGTCGTCCCGTCCTGCTCGTCCCTCACTTTGTAAACTTTTCACCCCGAGAAAGAGCCCTGCAAACTGCTTTTCGTGCCTCCTCCATTCAGGGGGCACGGAGGTTTTGTTCCGGGGAGATGTGATTGTTTGTCAGCTGTACCGGGAAAACAGCCCGCGTGCTCAATGCCTACAGGGGGGGAAGGGTTTCCTTTAGATATCCCGGGCAGAATCAGGTTGTTTTCTTCTCCCTGTCATTTCTTTTCACCACAATTTGCAGCGAGTGATTCATAACCCTCTTTAGGGGGGAGGCGGGGGTGTGATTCTCTGACGAGACCCAACGTTGACGTGCTCTTGTGTAATTTGTGCAGAGCTTCCCAAGGTTAGATGTTCATTAATGTGCATTCAGATGGTCTGACCTGACCTCAGCAGTTCTTTGGGGGGGAGGGGACATTTTTTCTCCCGGTTTTTATTCTCCGTTTCTGGACACGAGGAGGATGTCTTACTGAAAGTAATTATTGGTGTGTTCTGCTGGGGGTGGTGTGTGTGTGTGTGTGTGTGTGTGTGTGTGTGTGTGTGTGTGTTCAGGCCGACTGATGGCCGACCTCTGCTCTCCTCTGTGGAGCAGCAGCAGCAGCGGTGTAAGTGTTGGCCCGGGAGTTACTTCTATATTCACCACAGCTCCACACCACAGGGGATGGAAAAGCCTGGCTCAGTCATCTGGAAACACACACACACACACACAGACACACACTCTGAGTAGATCGGCCCCTGGGAAAATGTGACTGGGACGGCTTAAAGGAGATAAAAATCCAAAAGTCTGCGCTTGATGGCTGTTCTGTGTCGAGTGGCCAGTTAAAGCGCACACGCCGAGTTAAAGCGCACACGCCGAGTTAAAGCGCACGCGCCGAGTTAAAGCGCACGCGCAGAGTTAAAGCGTAGAGTTAAAGCGCACGCGCAGAGTTAAAGCGCACGCGCGGTGAAGCGGGTTGGGCTGGACGGAAGAACGGGGGGCAGAGGAAAAAAAAGTGTCTAATGATTAAGTGCCGAGACCTTGAAGGAAAGAGGAGGAAGACGGGAACGCAAGGTGGTGGAGTTGTGTGTGTGTGTGTGTGTGTGTGTGAGAATGATGTGATTTAGGTTTGGATAGTTTCCTTCAGCAGGTCCGCTGTGTCTGGAGGGCCCAGTCGTAACTCTCTCACGGCAGAGAGGGGCGAGTGACGGGCCGAAGGCCTCCAGCGAGGCTGCCACAGCGTTCTTCACGGCAACCTTAAAGCCACGACGATACGGGCATGAAACATGGAGAGAAAGAACGCGTCCCTTTTGGTTAAAAACCAAGAGGGCGACGGGCGAGACGAGGAACCTTTCACGCACTCGTCCGTCCTTTCTCTGCTATCTAAATCCATTAACAGGCGAGCGAGGTGCCTCCTTACCTGCTCCATCTAGTTGGCTCGAGTGGCGTTCTCAAGCCCGAGTAATGTGTTCGTATGCGTGTACACGAGTACCTGCATGTACCTCAATTTCATGAACAATGAATCAAATCCTGAAGCTGATTCATTCCCGCTTTCTGATTACTGTTGAAGTGTTAATGTGAGTCTGCTGGTGGTGAAACATGTGCATGAGACGTTGAGTGCATGAAAATGCCAGTTGCCGTGTGTGTGTGTGTGTGTGTGTGTGTGTGTGTGTGTGTGTGTGTGTGTGTGTGTGTGTGCGTGTGTGCGGGGGGGTTGTATTGGCTGCTGGAAGGGGGGAAGGGAGTCTGAGACAGAAGAAGGATATAAGCCATTTGGTCAACATTCCTCCAGCAGCATAACAAAGTACCACTCTGTGTGTGTGTGTGTGTGTGTGTGTGTGTGTGTGTTCATGTGTTCATACAAACAATCATCCAACGTGAATACTTGTTATCTGCAGCCACTTGATCAACTGATCGGATCAAAGGTTTAATCTGCTCGACGAGTCGTCCCTATCAGCCGGTTAAATGCTGTGACACGCTGGTACACGCTGTGACACACTGTTACCGATTGTTACATTACATTTACATTACATTTCATTTAGCTGACGCTTTTATCCAAAGCGACGTACAATAAGTTCATTCAACCATAGGGTAGGCTTACGCGCTGTGACACGCTGTTACGCGCTGTGACACGCTGTTACCCACTGTGACGCGCTGTGACGCGCTGTTACCGACTGTTACGCGCTGTGACACGCTGTTACCGACTGTTGTGACACGCTGTTACCGACTGTTACGCGCTGTGACACGCTGTTACCCACTGTTGTGACACGCTGTTACTGACTGTTACGCGCTGTGACACACTGTGACGCACTGTTACGCGCTGTGACACACTGTGACGCGCTGTGACACACTGTGACGCGCTGTGACGCGCTGTGACGCGCTGTGACACACTGTGACGCGCTGTGACGCGCTGTTACGCGCTGTGACACACTGTGACACGCTGTTACGCGCTGTGACACACTGACGCGCTGTTACGCGCTGTGACACACTATGACCCGCTGTTACGCGCTGTGACACACTGTGACCCACTGTTACACACTGTGACGCGCTGTTACGCGCTGTGACACACTGTGACGCGCTGTTACGCGCTGTGACACACTGTGACGCACTGTGACGCGCTGTGACCCACTGTTACGCGCTGTGACCCACTGTTACGCGCTGTGACGCAGTTTTTACTTAAAACCTCCATAAACTGAACTCAAACTGCTCCTGGAAGGATGTTGTGGACGAGTCTCCTGTTCTGTGTTTGGGGCTGAAAGGGCTGTTTCTTCTTCTTTTTCTTCCTCTTCTCTTCGGGGCATTCCAGCAGATGTTTGGAAACGTGGTCTGGGATTCCCCCCCCCGCCCCCCCACCCCCAAAAAATAGAGGCAACAAAGATGGAGACGATACTCAGATTTTTCTGAAAAGAATGATTTGCCGTGTGGTCAAAGGTAGGCGACTGAATGTCCTGGGTTGGTAAACACCCGTGTGTGTGTGTGTGTGTGTGTGTGTGTTTGCGTGTGTGTGTGCCTACATTCCAGTAAAGGTAGCCTCCAGTAGCAATCTGCTCTGCAGGGGGTCGGTGAGTATGCCATCAGATAGAGATGCTATTGTCTCTACTGTGTGTGTGTGTGTGTGTGTGTGTGTGTGCGCCCCGACTTGCTTTCCTTTGTCCTTACTAACCCAAAACATCTGTCCTGCAGCAGCGTAGTGGAGCACAATAGAGCATATTGATGAGACACAGGGAGAATTCCTGTTTCCACCCCACCACGTTGAGCTTATGGACGAGGAGATTGAGCATTGATGCGGCCGGTTCCATCTCCTCACGTGTGAGCGTTGCAGCTTGTGGATCTTCTGAAGGCTCTCTGAGACGTTCCTGTTAAAAGATTTCCTTCAGTTATCTATTGTTTGGTCTATAAGACCTCGCACGACAAGGAATTGCTGTCGTCGGTGTAGCATTTAGTTTCGTATTTCCTTCACTTTGTGCATTCGGTGTGAAATTGTGTGTTGTTTCATTTTAGAATATTGCAGCATTCCCCAAAGTTTTTGACTCCTGAAAATCCATTTTCTGTTTGCAAGAATCTGGTCTTCTTATCTAACGGGCTTGAACTACAGCGTGTGCCTGTGCCTGTGTGTGTGTGTGTGTGTGTGTGTGTGTGTGTGTGTGTGTGTGTGTGTCAGGGTGTGGCTGGAATGTGTCTATCTCTGATCTGCAGAGCTGCTAGCTGTTTCTTTTAGGCTACGTCTGCAGGCGCACACACACAAACACACACACACCAAAATAACGGCCTCTCTTTGCGTAGGTGAATCAGTACAGTAACCATCAAACACACACTGCACTGTTATCAAAGGACTGTGTGTGTGTGTGAGTCATGGAGAAAGTGGGAAAAGATATTCAAGGTACATGGGAGACGTGTGTCCTAGTTGCATTGTGTGTGTGTGTGTGTGTGTGTGTGTGTGCGTGTGTCCTGACCTGAGGCCGCTGCAGTTGTTATTGTTTTTGTCCGACGCATTTTACCCTCTCAGTGGGGGGAACACACACACACACACACACACACACCGCCGTGTTGTCCTTTTCTCTCAGATTACACTCACGATGCATCCTGATGTGCATGTAGTGTATTTTTAGGACCCCCCTACACACACACACACACCCCCCCCGCGTGCCCCGGTCAGGATTGTGTTCTGCTGATTTGCAAAATAAAAGTTGGAGCTTGATTTCGGCGCTGTGCGCTCGAAGGAGGCGGCGAGGAGCAGAACGAAAGCTTCCAGCAGGCGTCATGTGAGCGTGAACACGGAAACTCTCTCTCTCTCCAGCGCCTTAGAAAACCAAACTACGACATCCCATTAACACATGTGGAAACACCTGGATGAAACACCCAGTTAAAACGAGACGTTCATTACAGAGACGTTTAATCGGCACCTCGTTGGATGGTCACGAATTTGAGTTTTGTGTTTCATGTTTCACACAATGCTGTTTTCAGCCTCTCAAATATGCAGATTTACTGTTGTCTTTTTGGTTTTCTATCAAAGTCAACAGGTTCTTTTGTGTTGTTTTTGGACCAAATGAGACATTTCGTACGTAACTAAGTGAGATTCCGAAACCCCGTTTGCGGACTTCTCCTTTAATCGCGACTCCTTTGGGCTACATTTTCCATTGGGAGCAGTTTCCCCACTCGAAAATGTCAGACTGAGGGAGGCCGCCACGGGGGGGGGGGGGGGGGGTTTCTGTGCGTCCACATTTGCGTGACGTTTATTGTGAAGCAGCCGTGACCCACAAGGAACCACAGAATCATGGCGTGGAGGAGAGTCTGTGGTCCAGAAGGTCACAGGACGGTCTCTTTGTCGTTAAAATC